CAAACCGAAGCTAATTATTGCAGGGGAAATCGGGATTTTAGAACAAGGGCCCCAAAAGTGAGCGTGTGGAACGGTGACAAGATTTACGGCCCCTTGATCCCGTGGAAGAAACGCCGCACTTCAACACTTTCATAATGTCCCACAGCTACATGCCCTCACCGTATAGGGCTCAACGGGCAACCCTACCCGTCCTCCATACAAAAAATTTTTGGCTGATCGTGTGAGACACCAGCCGAGCCGTGCCGAGCCGAGCCGAGTTTTAGTAACTGCTTAAATAAGCATTGCTATCGAACGAATAAACCATTGATTGAGAGGGGATCGATTACCACACAAGCTGAAACGGGCGTGCAATCTTTAGCGCAAGAGTGGCGCGTACTTGCTACTGCGCTATGCTTGTTAGCACATCTAACTGCGTGACCTCAAGTTATAGATGTAGAAATGCATGACAATAGCAGAGTCGCAGTACTTGGTCCGTTATTCACTACACTGAAAATGAATTACCAACCACCGCAGTGCTTCTCCAAATAACCAGCGAATGGGTTTTTCAAACATTCACGCGTAGCATTGGCTCTTTCGGGTCTACGATCATTGCAAAATGCGAGACGACTATGGATCACAATATGATCCGAGACAGAGCTGATCCTGAAATTTGGGCGAAGACACAAAAAGCTTTTAGGAAATGGAAGCCGACTAAAGTACGAGTACTTCGAGCAGCACTTACACGTCGTTTCTGTACGCAAACGATCCTTCTTCGAAGTCCGGGAAATCAGGCATTTTAGCAAAATTAATCTTCTTTTGGCGTAAACAATAGTCCGCTGCTTTGGCTACCGCTTTGTAAACTTCGGTACGTACACATTTCTGTTCATTGGCTGGTGTTGACAACAAGGCTTTGATCGCACCTTTGGCAAACTAAATATTTATTTAAATCGATAAAACTCGGTTTCATTTACTATTCATGCAAATGGAACTGGCTCCGATGTCTAATTATCCACCCTCAGAAATGCAGTAAATATGGGACAATGATTTGGTAAGGATTTTGATTGGATAAGGCAAAGAGCTTTAGAAATTTGATAGGAGGCACGCAATTTTGAATATCGTGTCTGTTTTTTCGGATATCAAAAAAAAGGTAATGTGCGTTCAGAGCTGATCCAAAACATGCGCCCGCAGGAAATTTTAGCCTCATGGTTTCATGAGATTGCTGAGTTGAAAGTAACAAAAATATGAGCACAACATACAGACATATGTATAATTAATTATATACATAACCATGCATAACTCTCTATAACCATATATAATTATATATAAACTATTTATATAACTGCTCGCCAACGCATTTTTGCATTGCACAAAATATGCAAAAAGATATAAGAAATTTACAGTTTCAGTGGATTTTTCCCAGATGAAAATTTGGAACAGAAACCACGGCATAGGCATAAGCCGAAAATCCTGTAAAGCTGGCACTTATAGACAATAAAACACGAAAATTTAGAGCTGTCAACGGAGTGCAGCTCTACCGGAAAGAGGGCAAACGATCTCGGGGATATATTGGCAAATTTGGTGAATTACATAAAAATGAAAACGCATCAAATCAGTCGTTGCCTTACCGTGCGGCAAAGAGAGCATAGGCGTAGCGGACCGCCTTCATCCTCCCAAGCTTGTTTTTTTAAATCCAATAACGCTAAAACACAACGACTCTTGCTATCTACTCCATCTGCAGCCTGCGCAAAACAGGATTTCACTGCTTGCCTGCAAAAAATACGAATACTTTCACGCGTAGCAGCGACGCTGTAAATGATGATCTTGTGCTATAAATGCCCAAAACCAAAACAGTCCAAAGAGACTAAACGAGAATTGGTATTTTGAGATCAGAGTAATTCGTGAGTAAAGTTGAAGTAAAACAGCGGGACAGCTATTCAAAGCAGTTTAATTCATGCTCGAAAATTTTTTTGAATGCGAATGAAAATTGTCGAGACAAGGTGGAAAACAGGAAGCCAGTCAGTATGCTAAGGAACATTTAGCCTGAAGCTGCTGACCACTGCTTAAAGCATTAAAATGAATGAACGACAGTGAATTTAGTGGAATGAAAAAAAAATCATGACTTAGTTGGAAACCGCTTTTTCTCTAAGGTATCCGTGATAAAAACAGTTGTCAGACAAGTTATTCCTTCAAAATCTATAAATTCACCTGTTGTGCTCCTTGATTTCCGCCTCAAAAGCACCATAATTTTCAGAAACCGTATTCTTGATGCAATGCATGTGACTAGCAAAAAGCTGAGTGGTGTTGTATTTTAAGAAACACTCCTCCTCGCACAGGACCCGCAGCTGAAATTTATATTTTTACATCAATTTCTCGTAGAAAAAGCATTTCAAGGCCTGGAATATTTCGATAATTCCTCCATTGGCCAAATGGCTCCAAAACACCAGAGCGGAATCAAAAGCCAGAATTCCCTTCATACTCTGCACTTATTGTGAATTAGAAGGTGATCCTCTGGTAGAGTTTTATCCAAAAGCTATCACCCGATAGTTCGCTCAACCAAATTTCACTTCAAAATGCGGCCATCGCTTTCCGACATGTGCCAGTACCATAACTCTATACAATAAAAGAGGTCAAATTTGTCTTGATACTTTTCTGCGACCAAAAAATAACGTGATTAACTGCCGGCCCCTCGTTGCTCGAATCCGCGGTGCTATTGCTTCTCAGATGTGTGTGTATGTGTAGAGTTAGAATTAGGAAAAGTGCTATTAAATTCGTTACTCGCAACACACAAGTTGATAAGAAATTTAATGATGCTGTTGCTTGTTTGGTAGTTGTCTGTAAAGTATCACTGTAACAGACAATCACATTAAGCTATGTAAAAGTAAAACAGCCTTCCACTCATCTGCTTCGCTTCAAACTTAATTAGTTGGCCAAGACCGGGCTGCCCGTGCGAAGATGCGTTTTTTGTACACCTCCCCGCAGATTATTGTCGCTAACGGCACTGGTTTTTCCGGCAGATGATTCTAGCTAAAAGAATTTCAGACTGGCCGCCAGGACTGCCCGGAAACATCCCTTCAAAATTCAAATCTTCTAGCTCCTCAGGTTCCCGAGTTAACAATTAGTTCGAAAAAAGTTTCACGGGCCCGTACGTGGATACCACGCTTACCCGGTGGCTGGGTTTGAGCTCACTAACACATATTTGGCTGGGGAACATCCCCTTAAAATTTCAGCTTTCCAGCTTCTCTGGTTCTCGAGTTAGCAGCTTGCCCGTGGAAAACTTTGGCGAGCCAGTACGTGGTACCACGAGGGTAAGAGCGCCCGTTTTGGGGATGGGGTCCCGAGCACGCATGTAGATTAAGTTCCTCAAGTTTCAGCCCTGTAGCTTTTGACGGTCTCGAGATGAAAAATCGGTACAGGCGAACACACAGACACACACACACAGACACACACTGACACACATACAGACACACATACAAACACACAGACACACACACACAGACAACACCTCGTCAATATGAGTTTTCTGCATTGCATAACTGCAAAAAACGCATAATAATTGCAAAAGCAATTTAAAAATGCAACTTTCTGTCGGCCTTTTAATGCACGCGTACAGCATTACTTCAATTTTTTATCAACAGTCAGTAAGTGAACTAAATTATGCATTTGCTGACCTGCTCACAGTCATTTTCGAGGTTAGTGCCAGAAATCATTTTCGAGACTTGTACAACGTCAGAATGAGAAACTACCTGACAGCAAGTACTGTGGTGATAGTAGTGTGTGTGCGTGAGTGCCTGTGTACATATATTTGTCCGTGTATGTCCACCTATTTCAGCGCGGAAATTATAAAAGGTGAGGAAAATCAACATTTAGGTTCTTTCATGTCTGAACGCAGGGAACGTTAAAGATTTGACCCCATTTTTATTTAACCTCCTGTTACACAGAGAGAGCATGCAATACATCTCATTCATCCCCTAAGACTAAAGTAGCTTTTTTAGATCAAATAAAAACCAAGGGGATTTCGTCCGCTGTGAGCCTACTGTAACTTTGTCGCCACGACGACTGAACATGTTGATCAGTGGTGCAAATTTGAAAATTTGTTGTTGGACGCGGGATATTCACAGAATTATTAAGTTGGTACCACAAGATTATGCTAAGATTAGCAAGTTTGTTAGATTGAAAACTCAGTAGCCCTCTAGCACAGAATGAAAAATTGATGATTCAGAAAATCGGTGTAATCACCATATCTCATTCGCTGCCCATTTTCCGGAGCGACTTCTTGCACCACGAAAAACTACTGCGCGCTTTAAAATTAGAGTTGTGCGACATAAAAACTGATAAATGCATCCCGATAAGCTTCTGCACTGTAAAGATTGACTTCCGAGTTGTCGAATTTAGCTTTGCAGGCGCAGAAACCTTTTTACAGGCCGCCAAACTTGCTTTTGAGTTACAAGATCAGCTTGCAATTTGTTCGACCAGACTGGATGGTTGCTAAATTCAGTTTGCCCGGCTACCGCAAGCGGCTCCGGAACTAAGAAGGGACGCAGAAAAAGGTTACTTTAGATAAGGTGCGGAAATTGGAAAAAACAGCCTCCTACGAAAGGATCTGTAGGTGGTTCTGCTGAAGCCTACACTATTGAACTGTAGATCGTTGAAGGCAGTAAATCGATGAAAAGCAGAAGTTTCAGATTCTGAAAATTTCCCGTGATTACAATAGTTTCAATTCCACACTGCGGTATATTGTTAATAGTGAATCATGAGGAACTTACTACGCACGCAGCGGTGATGAGTAGCCTGAGGCAGGATTTCATTGTTCCTGAAATCCTCACGGTTTATGCAATAACAACTGATCAAATAAACCTCAAAATAGCTGCGTTAAAACTGAATTAGGTAATATAAGTGACACAGAATCGCAAAGTTCTCCCCTGAATCAGTGGTTCTGTTTACGATTTCTTCTCATGCGGTACAGATCCGGTCAGCCAGTTTGAAAAGAAATGCCGACAAAACCCGAACATTTATGTTTTGGCTTACGTTGCTGGTAATTTATTCGCTGGGCTGAAGTATTATCAGAGCACATTGTTAAAATCTAAAGCTACGACCATTCGTACTTTTAACAACTTGATTGCTTCAAAGTCTGCGCAAAAGTGCATGGTCGCGCCAGCAACCCTAGTGCATGCCGCTTATTCATATAATTCCATTACTGAATAGAATTATCACTTACAAAGATGAGCAAAAATGCATTAAAACATAGAACGCTTGTAGGTCGTCCAAAATTATAATTTTAGAATAACGAAGAGCAGTAAAAGTGGAAAGACTTGCACCAAGTGTGGGAGAAGGGCGCGGGCGGATCAACAAGCTGAAGGAGGCGTGCAGAGGTAGCGGCTGGGGAAACAAAAAGGAAAGAGGTGATTTTAAGCATCTGTGAATGGAAGCAGGCTTAGACAAATCAAGTTATTCTCAGTATCTCTGTTTACATCATTAGCATTAACAAATCTAACGTAATTTTCACCAAAAATTCAAAGACAACGAAACGAGCGCTAAGCGGAGCAGATAACAACAGTGATTGGAAAAAACTCGTTTGTGGAAAGGCCCGGATGTAAAATGCCGGGAAGGGGATGGGCAGAACGTACAACAAAACCAGAATATCTGCGATGCTGTTTTCGATCAAAGCGAATTGTCCTAAAACTATTCATCGACGATCCGTCCGCAAGCCTAAATCTGTCAACAAATTGTTCAAGTGCGAAATTCACCGTAACAATGTGAATGCGGCACTGGAAGGGGTACCACCACTGTTACTTGTTCCCAAGAAGAAGAAATCGCAGTTTCGGGAAAAAAAATCCAGAAGCAACAGTCTCAAATTTCCTCACAGCGATCTTCAGCGGTACTGTGCAACTGCGGCTGGCATGATTCAGCCTCAGGCAGCTAGAAGCTACCGTAAACGGAGAAATTAGAAGGGGGCGGGAAGGGGGGGTTCTTTATTGTTCGCACTTTTGTCACATGTTTAATGTCAACTAGCAATTAACAATATTTTTGTATTTACGGAGCGACCAATCCAATCTATCAATTTCTACAAGGATATGAGTTTTTCCATATTTTTGTGATGAGGCGCTGTTGCTCTGCGACGTTCAGCAAAAACGCATATTGTGATGACCCGCAGTTTATGAGTATGTGTGTTTCTGGGTATTTCAACTCGAGAACCGTACAAGGTTAGGTGCTGAAGTTTTGCCAACTATACCCCCTGACCAAGTACGACCTTGAAAACCTGCTTTTGGTTCTGGCATCGCCAAAAGTGCAAACGAAGTAAGTACACTGCAACTGAACATAGACAACGAGACAAGAACAAGAAAAATCACCCCATAAAGACCAGTAAGTGCATGCGTGATGGGTTGATTAGTTTTGTGCTCGTACAGGTACTCTAGTTGCGAGAGATTAAGGCTTGCTCCACTATGTGTTAACTGCTTGATGGCCGATTAGCTCATACCACGGAGTGTTATATTGATCCACTCATGTTCAGCCGTTTAGTCGCCGGAATTTGATAATTCAGCCCAAGCAGTTTAGGCATTCTGACTACGGCTAAACTAAGATACTGCAGGCTAAGCTCGCAGAAAACCTTTCAACCTCATTTTATTTTAAAGATCATGTTCGGCAATTAAAATCCCATCGTCGGAAATAGAGCAAAAACAAAAAGAAGAAACGAAACGATATTCAGTGAATCTAGAAAAAAATTCAGTAAAAGCAAAAATGTGGAAATTTGCAGCGCCATGAAATGTTGGTTTCCCCAATTTTATGGCACTCAGAATTACCCGAAAACACAATATAACAGAGGGATGACTGCGTTGTGCAGTGCGCAACCAGCTGTCGATCGAAATAACGGCGCAGTGAGCGGGTAATGCGTTTGTTAAATGGACACTGCTGCTGTTGCGGATGACCCTGACTGAATCGAGAATTGCCCTGCCTGGACCGCTCGCTTCCTCTGATGCCCGTTTCTCTACACTGTTTCCCTTTGTGGCATGAACCGGCGGTGACCTCTATCGGCACCCATACAACACACGGGGTATTTTTCATTGAAAAATTATTCTTACCACATCAGAAAATACGTCTTGATCATTGCTGACTGGCACAAGCCGGAGATAATTTCACTTCCAGAGTTGATGCATTCGAACATTACTTCGGGCAGAATTTTCGGACAGCAGAAAGTCCTGGTAACTTGCAACAGCTCTGAACGATGGTAAGCCTAAAATATCTCATTGCTTCCGCACTGGGATTTGAGAGAGCAAAATAAGAAAATTTGAAATAAGTAAATTGACCAATGCACGACCCAATGGTGTTCAATATCTGCATAAAACTGGACTTTAGCATAAGACGAGCAGCGAAAAATTATCAAAATTCATTCAGCGGTTCAAGTACGGGCATTACACAGCCAGTTCGGCATAAGACTGGAAATTAGAGATTGAGGGCGTACAACCGTCGGTCTGGAGAATAATTAGGTGGAAGAGAAGTTGAGTTTGAAACTAAGCAAAAGCTCCTTGTGCTACAGGTCAATCCGTCTATAAAATCAATGGCGACGCTCACCGGACAGCTTTATGCGATCATGCGTTTTTGCACAATTTCATGCTGTAATGAGATCGCTCAGAAACCCACCAGCTAAAATATGTGAAATGCAGGTGCTCGAAGTTCAGGAATTTAGTTATTATACGGTACTTGGACAGGGAACATTCCATTAAAATTTCAGTTTTCCAGTCTTACTAGTTCCCACGTTAGCCATTCTCCCGCAAAAGCTTTCACGGGGCTGTACGTGAGAAACACTCATAGAGAGAGGCTGAATTTAGTAAATTTAAGTTGTAAATGTGCTGGAAACATACCCTCAAAATTTCAGCCTCCCAGCTTTCCTGGTCCCCGAATTATCTATTTTCCCGCCAAAAATTTTCGAGGGGCTGTACATGCGAGCCACGCATGCCTACGGGTTGATTTTGATGAATTTCAGTTGTGTATGAACTGGGGATATCCCATTAAAATTTCAGCTTTCTAGCTTTTCTGGATCCCAGGTCAGCGATTTTCGCGTCAGAAACCTTCACGGCGTCATACGTGGATACTACACACACCTAGGGGCTGGCTTTGAAATCTTTGAGTTCTATGTAGGTGGGGAACATAACCTCAAAACTTCAGCTTTCTGGCTTTTCTGATTCCAGAGTTGGCGATTTCCCCGCCAAAACTTTGAGGCGCTGATACGCGACGCCTAGACGTGCGTGAGGGTCGGTACCACGGTCCTGGGGTGAAATTGATCGCGGAATCCATTGGCAAAATTTTGGCGCTGGAACTTGCTTAGGTGCCAAGTTGAAATACCCGGGCACACACACACACACACACACACACACAAACACTCACCCACTGGGGTCGTCGCAGTACGCGTTTTCGCATTTGCATGTATGCAAAGACGCATAAAAAGCGACACGCAAATAGCTCTTCGGGCACTCCTAGTGGAAAATTATTAGAGTTTTATTCAAGAAGAGAGGATCAGCTTTCTGGCCACTGTGCAGTGCATATTCGCACTGCACTGCTGTGTGAATTTGGCAGCTAAATCAGAAGGCAATTTAAAGTTCAGTTTCTTCACTTGCTTTTTTTTTTTTTGCATTTTTTGAGCTTGCGTTTTTTTTTTCGGCTATTTTTACATACACAGTTGACAATTTTCCTACTGACTGTGATTTTTTGTATC